TGGGATGGTTCCAGGAGGTTGAGAAGGGATGGGTTAATGAGTGCCAGCAGGTCCCTACCAAAGAGTTCCCCCAGGAAGCTGCCGAGGTCGCTGTCAGCGAAGTCCTTGTGTGTTGGCAGCTTGAGGAACTTGGTGACAGCCACCACCAGCACTGCAGCCCGGCGGAAGGTCCTGGCAGGGTCACCCCTGGTTGTTGTCACCTGGATGTCCACCCCGGGGGGTGGCACCTCCGGGGCCAAGCATGGCTTCTGGGGGGGAAAGGGATGTGGGTGAGAGCTTGGCTTCCTCTTCCTCCTCAGCTCCATCTCCTCTGTCACCCTCCTGTCCTCACTGTCCCAACACCCCTGGGGACACCATCCTGATGTCCTCTTGTCCCTTGTGCCCACCCATGGGGACATGTCTTTGGAGGACATGACCTTGGGGAGCCCAAAGGACCCACAGCACCATGGCAGGACATGAACCTCCATCATCCTCCTGTCCCCACTGCCCCAACACCCCTGGGGAGACTCTCCTGATGTCCTCTTGTCCCTTGTGCCCACCCATGGGGACATGTCCTTGGAGGACAATGACCTTGGGGAGCCCAAAGGACCCACAGCACCATGGCAGGACATGAACCTCCATCCCCCTCCTGTCCCCACACTCCTGGGGACAGGACTCTGCTGTCCCCAGGGTCCCTCCCTTGTGCCCACCCTGGGGACAAGCCCTGGGGACATCTCCCACCACCACAGTGTTGTTACCTTCTGTGGACAGAGACACTCGGGGTCGTACAAGGTCTCCTCATTCAGGCTGGAAGGCAAAGGCAGAAGGTCAAAAGGTGAAGCCAAGGCCAACAGCAGGTCCCCAAGGTCCTCCCTGACCCTGCCACACTCACCTGCTACTCTCCAGGGTGTCCAGGTCGGGGACAAATGCCATCTCAGCTGGTTTGGGCACACCCTGGTGGGACTGGGAGGTGCTGAAGACTTGGCTGCTGCTGCCTGTGCTGCTGCTCCAGGAGATGCTCCCTGTGCCCCTGGCGATGCTCCCTGTGCCCCTGGCTGTTCTCCTGGTGATGCTCCCGGTTCTGGCGATGCTCTCTGTGCTCCTGTCGGTGCTGCTCGCAGTGTGAGCGCTGCCGGCAGCGCCGCGCGGGTTTTGAAGGGCTGCGGGAGGAAGCACGGGATTTCCAGTTGAGCAACTCCCAGCACGGCCCAGTTCCGCCCCGAACTGAGGGGGCTGCAGTGGGGCGGGAAGGGAAGGGAAGGG